TACCCCCAGGCGCAGCACCCCCAGACTCAGTACTGCCAAGCTCAGCACCCCCAGACCCCTCACACTCAGGCTCAGCACCTCCAGGCTCCACACCCTCAAGCTCCGCACCCCCAGGCTCAGCACCCCCAGGCTCAACACCCTAGGCTCTGCACACCCAGGCTCCGCACCCCCAGGCCCAGCACCCCCAGAAGTAGCACCCCGAGCAGGACCACCCTCAGCAGGACCTGAGTCACCAGTGACCTCAACCGGCGCAGACAAGGGAGGAGGGTCTACCTGAGACACACCTGAAGGAGCAGGACCGGGAGCGGGGAGGGGGTCTACCTGGGGAGCACCTGGAGCGAGGAAGAGCGGCGGGGGGGGGGGAGCGGGGCAGCGCGGTAGGGGAAGAGACGGTAAAAGGGAACCGACTCGTCGAACGTGACGTCCTGAGACGCAAAGACACGGCGCGAGGTGGGGTGGTAAAACTGCCAACCAGGCGCGTCAGGGACAAAGCCAAGGAAGACACAGGGAACAGCGCGGGCGGAGAGCTTGTCCGCAGTGGTATCGCGGACAAAGGCACGAGCACCCCAGACCCGGAAACGCGACGCATCGCCAACCTTCCCCGTCCACAGCAGTGTGGGTGAGGTCTCCGGCAAGGAGACACGGGGCCAAAGGTTGAGCTGATGCGCTGCGTACCGGACCGCAAACGGCCACAAAAAATGGGGGGCAGCCGCATGGATCATGGAGGTACGAGCGACCTCCATGACTAAGCCAATGTGGCGCTCAGCAACCCCATTCTGCTGCAGAGAGGTAGGAGGCGTGAACGACTGGCGGATGCCGTGCTCCGCACAGTAGGCTGCCAAGAGGTCTGAGGTGAACTCACCACCTCTGTCGGAGTGCAGACGCAGGACAGGAAAGTCCCGCTGGAACCGGTCGCGGAGCTGGAGACGAGTAGCGCGGATCCAAGGGATCAAAACAGCAGGGACGTCCCCCTTGCTCTGCAAGGGGAAGACCGTGGTGTAGCGCGTGTAGTCGTCGACAACCAGCAGGAAGTACCGCTCGTGGCCCAGTCCACGGACGCGGGCTGGGCCCCACACGTCCAGGTGGAGAGTCTGCAGGGGAGCCTCTGTGGGAGGGAACGAGGAGGAGTGAGGAGCGGCGCGCTGCCGCCCCTCGACGCAAGGAATGCAGGGCGGTGCAGGCGAGGGAGGGAGAGCAGGCAGAGACCTGGGAAGACCAGAAACCAGGGAGCGAGAGTGCATGCCACGAAGGCGAGGCAGGGAGGGGTGACCAAGGCGGTGGTGCCATAGGAGAGTGTCGTGCGACAAAGCGCGACACTCGCAGGGGGCTGCCAGCTGACCAGACGTAGACGCAGACGCAGCTACCTGAGGGGACTCAGTGGTCAGTGTGTACAGACTCGAGCCAGGTGCACGGGTGAACGTGGCCAAGTGTCGGCCCGTCCGAGCACACGTACAGTGAGTCACTTGCTGACTCGCAGGAGTGAACTGGTCAACCCCGTGATCCTGGAGGTCAGCTCCACTCACCAAGTTCGTAGAGAACGAGGGGAGGTAAAGACCTGACAGGAAGCCAGACGGGACAGCCAGACACTGCAGAACCGTGGAGTAGTGGGCAAGGACTGGACCCCCAGAGGGGTCCGCCAGGGAGACTGGAACTGGCCGACTGAGCGGCGTGAGTGTGGTGCAGTCGCGAAAGAAAGAGCGGGAAGCTCCTGGGTCTAGGGTGAAGGTGTGCAAGACCGCAGCAGGCGCAGTACCAGAGAGAGCAAACTCACCAGCACCTAGAGCAGCAGTCTCACCAGCACCTAGAGCAGGAGACGCACGAGCACCTAGAGCAGCAGCCTCACCAGTACCGAGAGCAGCAGGCGCTATACCAGGGTCAGGCGGGACGCACAGGTAACAGGCACGGTCAACACTAGTAGGCAATGCATACATGGCAGTGAGAATAGCATCATAGTCAAGTGCAAAGATATCTACCCTCTGTCCAAGCAGCTCCGGCCAGGTAGGGAGCTCAGCCTCGTCTCCAAACACGGTACGCCAGGCGTCGCTCAGACGGGCGAAGCAGCGGGACTGTGTGTGACCAAGTGTCCCGCAAGGCTGACCAGTCCTAACACCTGTGCGAATGACGTACGGGCAGCGAACGGTACGCGAAGACCTGCTACACTGAGCGTACCACTCCTGGAGCTGCCGGGGCGTAAGTGTCTCGCGTGGACGCCCCTGCAGCTGCAGCTGGCCACTGCCAGACGCCCCCAACTGACCAGCTCCAGGGCGACTGCTACGACGGCTACCTCGACAGCCCCAACTAGTATACCACTCATCAAGCTGCTGGGGCGTGAGAGACTCGCGGGAACGACGCTGGAGCTGCATCTGGCCACCTGCTAATAGCAGGAGTAGTAGCAGCCGCTCGGGCAGCTCGGGCAGGCGCGGCAGGCAGGCAGACAGGCCGGCAGGCAGGCAGGCAGGCTGGCAGGCAGGCAGGCAGGCAGGCAGGCAGACAGACAGGCAGGCAGGCAGGCAGGCAGGTAGGCCGGCAGGCAGGCAGGCAGGCAGGCAGGCAGATAGGCAGGCCGACAGGCAGGCCGGCAGGCAGACAGGCCAGCAGGCAGACAAGCAGGCAGGTAGGCCAACAGGCAGGCAGGTAGACAGGCAGGCCGGCTGGCAGGCAGGCCAACAGGCAGGCAGGCAGACAGGCAGGCCGGCTGGCAGACAGGCAGGCAGGCCGGCAGACAGGCAGGCAGGCAGGCAGGTGCTCACCAAAGGCTGGAAAGGGCCGACGCTCGGCGGGCGGCGACCGGGTAGGCGTACGTCGGCAGCGACGGCGGGGCTGCAACAGCGGCTGCAGAGTAGGGCCGAAGCAGCTGCAGGGCGGGGCCGCTTCAGCGGCAGTTGCAGGGTGGGGCCGCGTCAGCGGCAGGTCGGGGCCGTGGCAGCTGCAGGGCGGGGCCGCATCAGCGGCAGGTCGGGGCCGTGGCAGCTGCAGGGCGGGGCCGCATCAGCGGCAGGTCGGGGCCGAGGCAGAGGGCCGCGCGCGGCTCGGCGCGGGCTGCGCTGACAGCGCGCTGGGCTGCTGCAGGCCGCGCGCGGCCGCGCTAGGCAGTAGCGGGCCAAGCGCGGCTCGGCGCGGGCTGCTGCGGGCCGCGCGCGGGCCGCGCGAGGCAGTAGCAGGCCGCGCGCGGCTCTGCACGCGCTGCTGCGGGCCGCGCACGGGCCTCGCGAGGCAGTAGCAGGCCGCGCTCGGCTCGACGCGGGCTGCGTGGGCTCGGCGCGGGCTGCGCGCGGCAGCAGCGGGCTGCGCGCGGCTCGGTGCGGGCTGCGCGCGGCTCGGCGCGGGCTGCGCGGGCTCGGTGCGGGCAGCGCGCGGCAGCAGGGGGCCTAACGGGTCTGCAGGGGCTGTTCGCGGGCCTGAAGGGCGTGTAGGGGCGGCGCGCGGGCCTTACGGGCCTCTAGGGGCAGCGCGCTGGCCTAGGGCAGCAGGAGGCAGCGCTAGGGCTGCTGGACGGCGCGCGTAGCGCAGTACGTTACAAGGCAAGGCAAGGCAGGCAGGTACGTGGGGTAGCGCGGTAACCGCAGCGGTAGGTGGGCCCGAAAATCTGTCCTACGGACCTTAGTGCCAGGCCCTCAGATATCAGGATAAATTATCCTGATTACCCTGATTTCAGGATAGAGTTGGGGTGCCAGTGCTGGAAAATCAGGATAACATAAAATACAGCCCTGAACTTTCAGTATTAGGCTGTATCCTACACTGAGGAATTAAGATAAAGGTGTACCTGTAACACTGAACAGTAGCACAGAAATGTCTTATAACAAGAAAATCACGTTCGTTCAATACAGTCCGCTATGCGCGACGCAAGCGGGAATCGATCTCCATACTTCCACTGTGACAATTCGCAGATTCAAACAACTAGGCCATGACCGAGATGCACAGGTAACCGTGCATAAGTAGAAATGCCTTTGCATGTTCTTTATTAAAAATCATGTAAACAATGGTTGGGTATAAATTTTATTGGTAAAACGCATCTTAGTATATCGGGTACGTGATGTACACATATTGCCTTCGCTTTTCGTATTGTCCAAATGGACTCTTCGCGGACTCTTTGGTCGGACCTAAAACAGACTCCGGAATGTAGCAGGCCTTGGTCCAAAAAGTCTCTTTTTACTTAATCATGAAACCTAATTTAGCCCTGAAAAATCAGGGAAACCATTACATCCAGCGCTGAAGCCTCAGGATAAAGTTTTATATTTTAGGATACAGCCCTGATAGGTCAGGGTACCCTGAAACCAATCTGAGGCCCTGCTTAGTCTTCTGAAACCGTGTTAGAATCTAGCAGCAGGAATGGATGAACTAGCAGCATGCAGGAGTACAAGTAGTAAACCCTAATTGGGTTGTACCCCATATGGGCTACCCCACTACAGCCTAGACAATATGTAGCATATATGTTTGACAAGATCTACATTTGTCTCTTCATAAATTTAATTCATGTGTCATTTCAATACCGGTAGCCCAGCCCACGTGTTTGTACAAATTACTCGTTTGTAAGCCCACGCAGCAGATTTTTTAGAATTTTTGCAGGGATGATGTCAAAGTGAAGAGTTGACATTGTAAGACTAGTATTAGCAACCATAAATAATTCCTTGTTACTAGGTACATTCGTACAAATAGCATTCACACACACTACAAACAGATACTAAGGCGGGTAACGTTCCTACCTCGCAACAAGCACCGCATGCAGAACACAATACAGCCAGTCACCGACACATGGTGATTCGATACGAGGTAGGAACGCGCCCTTAGGCACGCCAATAACCATGCTCATGTCACAACGTGCTACACTAATCTGCCCCCCATGCGCCGCCAACCCTGCAGTGCCATCACGTGCCATTGGCTGGTGGAAGCAGCATTGAGCCCCAAGGAGGGGACTAGGAATGCAGGCAGCAGGGAAGGTAGCCCCAGTGATGGAGGAGGGTGGGTGGGTGATGTAGGCGCATGGCATGGCAGCCGCGGGGTCACACTGCCTGCACTGCTGCCAGGGATGAGTAGTCATATTGCTCTGATGGGGGCGATGGAATGGGGGATTTTGGGGGGGAGGGGTGGTGGATGAGCAAGGCAGTACCCAGTGAGGGGCGAGGAGAGGCTAGGTGAGGAGATGAGAACAGGAGAGGAGGAGAGAGGAGATGAGGGACGAGGCGAAGAGAGGGGGGGAGGAACGGCAAAGAGAGCACAGGAGAAAAGAGGAGATGAGGTTCGGGGGTGAACAAGGCAGCACATGCTAGCAAGTGCACAGGCTCACAGCCGTGGGCACTCACTGGTGGCCTTGGTGCAAGAGGCGGAGCCGAGGGTGCCCCAGTCGGACGAGGAGACGCAGCCCTTGAGGCATGCGACAGTGTAGGGCGCGGTGCTGCTCGCGTGGTAGTGGTAGAACGCCGGCTCGCCCCCACTGCCGTCGCCCACGTGCCCCCCGCACTCGTCCACCCCTGCCGGCAGCGCCCCCCCCGCTCCCCGCGGGCCGAAGAGCGGAATGGCGTCCGCCAGGAAGCCCAGCAGCGGCGAGTGCTGCCCGGGGGCGTCCTGCCAGAAGGACGCGCTGCCAAGGGAGTAGGGGCAGGGTGGAGGGTAGGGAAGGCGGAGAGAAGGGGGGATGGACGGTTGGGATGCCAGGAATGCTACGAGGTGAATGGCATGAGGCAGCGTGTGGTACATGGAAGGAGCAGAGGTTGCAGGTGAGGGAATGGTGGAACGCACTTGCAGAGGTTGAAGTTGGTGGAGCGAGACGCGGAGATGGCAGAGGGGTTGGCGACGCCGGGAGCGACGTGGTAGTGGTACTGGCCCGAGGGCGTGGGGTGGCCGCCACACGCGTCAAACGTGGAGCCCTCATACTGCAGGGCGTCCCGCCCCAGGGCGTCACACGCACTGCCAGGGGGACACGGAGTCACGGGGAGTGAGACAGGGACATGGGCGATGAGGGTGTGGGGTTGCATTATGGGGAACGAGATACTGTACGAGAGCAAATCTGAGCAGCACAGTGAGAAACTCCAAGTCCTTGACAGCCCTGCGCCCTCGCATCCCCCCCCTCCCCACGACCTCACCCACGCCCCCCCCCCCCCCCTCCGCCGTCACGGCGCTGACCTGTAGAAGGGCACGCCGTTGAGGGCAAAGCCAATGGGCCCCATCTTGCACGTGCCGCTGAGGGCCACGGGGATGGCGGAGGAGGCGAGTGTGGGGGCGAGCGGCACGGCCAAGGACAGCGCCTGCTGCAGCGGCGAGTAGAGCGTGGCGTGCACCCGCCATGCGTACCCCGGACACCCGTTGCTCTCCATCACCCTGCCATGGCGCGCCCAGAGGGCGGTGGGTGGGGAGCAGAGCCAACAGCGCAGCGGAGGGAAGCGTGCAGGGGGAACAGGGCGCGGGGGTACAGAGTGATGGAAAGAACAAGCGGGATAGACGAAGGGATAGAAAGGAAATGTATGCGTGAACGTGAGCGAACGTGATGGGTTGAGCGTGCATAGAGAGTGGCAAGGCACGCGGTGTGGCACAGCACGTGGGCTTGGGCACAGCACCTCTTGCCATTGCTGCTCGTGAGCTTGGCGCTCCTGCTGCTGCTGCTGTTGCCACACGCACTCCCACCCGATGACCCGCTGCCTCCCCCCATGCCTCCTCCCCCCATGCCTCCTCCCCCCATGCCTCCTCCCCCCATGCCTCCTGCGCCCATGCCTCCTCCGCCCATGCCTCCTGCGCCCATGCCTCCTCCGCCCATGCCTCCTCCGCCCATGCCTCCTCCGCCCATGCCTCCTCCGCCCATGCCTCCTCCGCCCATGCCTCCTCCGCCCATGCCTCCTGCGCCCATGCCTCCTGCGCCCATGCCTCCTCCGCCCATGCCTCCTGCGCCCATGCCTCCTCCGCCCATGCCTCCTCCGCCCATGCCTCCTGCGCCCATGCCTCCTCCGCCCATGCCTCCTCCGCCCATGCCTCCTCCGCCCATGCTTCCTCCGCCCATGCCTCCTCCGCCCATGCCTCCTCCGCCCATGCCTCCTCCGCCCATGCCTCCTCCGCCCATGCCTCCTCCGCCCATGCCTCCTCCGCCCATGCCTCCTCCCCCCATGCCTCCTGCGCCCATGCCTCCTCCGCCCATGCCTCCTCCGCCCATGCCTCCTCCGCCCATGCTTCCTCCGCCCATGCCTCCTCCGCCCATGCCTCTTCCGCCCATGCCTCCTCCGCCCATGCCTCCTGCGCCCATGCCTCCTCCGCCCATGCCTTCTCCGCCCATGCCCCCTCCGCCCGCATTACCCGTTTGTCCGCTCAAACCGCCACCTCCTTGCGACCCGAACCCGCCCTGCCCGCTCTGCCCGCCGCTCGTCTCGCCACTTCCGCCGCCGCCGCTGGTCCGTGGGGGGCGGAAGAAGGACCAGGCTCCGCGTGTCCCCAATCCCCCCAGCAAGCCGCCGAATCTTGGAAGGCCAAGCGAGCGCGCGCTGCACGCGGCGTGATCGACGCCCGCGAAGCAGAGGAGCGCCACGAGCGCGAGGGCCAGCACGACGCGGGACGACGTGAGGCGAAGCGTCATCATGGGGGGCGGCGCGTACTACTAAAAGGTTTGTGCGACGACTCGAAGGTTGTGTGAAGTGGAGGGACAGCGCGAGGCGACTGGGAGTGGCGAGGCAGGACAGCAGCGACGACGGTCCGCGTCGGAGCCCACGAGGCGATGCTGGCGGGGTGGCCGAGCGAGATTCGAAAGGCGTGGCCTAAGAAACCTGAGAGCGCTGAGGAATGCTAGCAGCGACGTCGCTATTTGTACTTCCACTGCCATCGCCGCCGCTGCCATGAGGCCAAGTCGCTCGACGTGCGTAGATTAGGGGAAACTGATACGTTGTTTTGACTGTTGGGACGATCTGATAGATCTGGGAGTCAACGCGAATCCAGTCAACGGTGCGGAACTGTTGACTGACGCTTGGGCGAAAGTGTGTGAGCGAGTCAGCGTTCTCGTTAGAGTGCTTCTAGTGAATTACCACATTATTATGTCTGATATCCATTGCACATCATACCAGTAACAATTCTAATCTTAGTAGCTTTGCTCAGTGCCATATACTGCTATCTTCATGTAAAAATAGGTTGGATATTCCATGCAGGCGTTTTTTTTTTCCTAGAAAACATATACGTAATCTGGTTTCAATATTAATGGAACCCATGAAGTTGTGTTCTCAAGGATTTAGAGAATGCTCTATAGAGGAAGGGGCTGACAAAAGTCAAACAGTACGATACGAAATAATTCTCGGGCTGTAGTGCTGGTACATTTGTCACTATATTTTGCTCAAAGAAAGGGCCTATTTTTTTTACTACAATTGCTGTGCATACACCCGGTCCCCATACGGTATGTGTCAATGCCACCATATTACGGTCAATATTGGAGGGTGCTGCATTTGGAGAAATACTGTATGGTATATAGTTAGTAACGGTGCTCCTCTCTCAAATGGCAGTGTTATTCACATCACATGGTTGTTGCAGTGGAGAAAAGAGAGAGAGCGCCATACAGGCGGTGCTACGGCCGCCGCCTCACTCCAGCAACAGCAATGAAGCCGCTGGCTTGCTGCAGAAGGACGAGGGATACCATACGAGGATCGAGAGATGGAAAGCATGGGTGACGGAGAGAGATATTGACAGAATCTACATGGCCCGATGTCCTAGTGCCCACGAACGAGTGAGGCCCCGGCTTGGTCTGCTTCCATCCACGTCCCTCTACACTCCCATGGTTGTGGTCACCACGAGAGCATTTCGAGGGCACGGGGAGGCAACGGGGAGGGCGTCAGGAGGGCACAGGGCGGGCAGCAGGCGAGGTGGAAATGCTGCTGGTGCTGGACCCGCCCTCCTCACTGCCCTCCGACATGATCGTAGCCACCGATGGGTTGCGCGACGCCCCCCCCACCCGTGCCCTCCCTGCCGTGCCCCCTCCCCCTACACCCTCCCACACCCGAGCCGAAGGCTCTGCTGCTGCGGCACCGGTTGGTGGCAGGTGGGCGTGGTGGTGCTGGGTGGAGGAGGAGGAGGTGGTTGGGGGGGGCTGCCCCTGCCCACCTGCCACACCTGTGCTGCCACTGCCTGCAGCACACGCACTGCCACTCGCCACAGCTCTGCCCTCCGCATTCCCCTTGCCCGCCCCATCCCTGCCACCACCACCAGCACCATCTGCACCTTGGTTGCCTCCTTCAGCACCACCAGTTGCCGCGGCAGCAGCGGGAGGGGTGGGGAGGATGTCGAACGGAGGAGGGGGGAGGGCGTGGAGAGGCATGTTGCGAGGAGGGGAGAGGGGGGTGAGGGAGGAGTAGTAGGGGTGGAAGGGGCCGATGGGACCCGACTTGTGCAGCCGCACCGCACTCACCCCGCCACCCCCGCCACGCCCTGCTGCTGCTCCTGCTGCACTCGCCCCAAGGGTGCTCCCTGCTGCTCCCGGCACTGCTGTTCGCGCAGCAGCAGCAGCAGTGGTGGTGGTGGTGGCAGCGGTGGCAGCGGGGCGGGCATCCCCCAGGAGGCCGAAGGCGGAGTACAGCGACCCGCGTGTGATGGGACCACTCACTGCGCGGCTGCCCGCTGCCACCGGGGGGTGGGGATGGTGGGGGGCATGGGCGGACGGCGCCAGGTGGAATGGCGCAGGTGCAGCGGCGGAGGGACGCGGAGACACCAGCGCATGCACGCTGCTTCCAGGAACCTTCAGAGAGGACGCCTGTGGCAGGCGCAGGCCAGGAGGCACAGCAGATAAAGTTCTGCCCACTGGCCCCGCTGCCCCCGCTGGCCCCGCTGCCCCCACTGCCCCCGCTGCCCCCGCTGCCCCCGCTGCCCCCGCTGCCCCCGCTGCCCCCGCTGCCCCCGCTGCCCCCGCTGCCCCCCCTGCCCCCGCTGCCCCCGCTGCCCCCCCTGCCCCCCCTGCTCCCCCTGCTCCCCCTGCTGCTGGTGGTGCTGGCGGGGAGGGCAAGGAGGGTGTGGGAGCAGAGGCTGCGGTGCTTCCAGCAGCAGAGGGCGCAGTGGGCAGAGCAGTGGCGGTGGCGAGCATGGGTCGGGGAGAGAGGGCAGAGGCGCCGTAGGGGTATGAGCCGCGCAGGATGGGCCCTGACATGCTCACTCGCGCCCTTGGCGCATTGCTGCTCCCGCCCCCACCCCCACCCCCTGCTCCCCGTCCCCTACCCGCTGCTGCCACTGACCCAGCCATGCCACTGCCTGCTGCGCCTTGCCCCGGCCCTACCCCCCCGCCAGCACCCACAGCAGCCCCCTGCGCTGCGCCTGGCATCGCAGAGCCGCCAGGCGCAGGCTTGGCGCCGCCTGGGGTGGGCTTGGGACCCGCAGCAGCAGCGGTGGCAGCGGCAGCAGGTGCTGCTGCTGCAGGCACAGGCGGTGTGGGTGGGGTGGCAGAGACGGTGCTTGAAGGTCCCTGCAGGGACTCAGGGCGTGGAAGAGGGCCCGACATCTGCGCTGCAAAGGGCTCCATGTGTGGCGCTCTGCCCCGCCCCGCTGTGCCTGCACCCACGCCCCGAGGCACCGCCACCTCTCTGCTGCCTGCCCCCATGCCCCCCCCTGTGGCGGCTGTGGCTGTGAGCGGCCCTCCCAGCGGCCCAGCAGAGGCAGCGAGCGCGCCCAGGTAGGCGGCGGGTGAGATGGGGCCCGACTTGGACGCCCCCAGCGATGGCCGCACTGCCCCCCCCGCCCCGCCGCTGCTGCTGCTGCCATGCCGGCCCTGCGACGGCACTGCTGCTGCTGCTGCTGCTGCTGCTGCTGCTGGTGGCGCTGTGGGCGGGTCCGCGTGCCCCTGTGGCTGCTGCAACACGCCCCCTGCGTGCATGACCGCTATTTCCCCCACGCTGCGAGGCATGCTCCTTGTGCCGCCACTCACTGCACTGCCTCGCCCAACCGCCCCTACCCCGGGCCCGGGTATATCCGCCCTCACGGCCGTGGCAGCAGGCGGCACCACAGACGAAGGCGCAGGTGCGGTGGCTGGCAGGCTGGCAGGCGGTGCACGCGCGTGTGTGGCAGCAGGGGGTGCGGCAGGAGGGTGTGCGGCAGGTGCAAGCGAGGCGGCAGGCATGGTGGTAGTGATGGGTGCGGGAGTGGAGGGGTGTTCGTGTTGGGGGGACTGAGGAGAGGAGGGGCCTTGAGGTGGAGGCTGCTGCAGGAAAGTGAGGAAGATGGGGGGGCACGGAGAAGGGGGGGTGAATAAGAGAAAGGGAGAGAATGCATGGTGAAAATGTAGGGAACAGAGATAGAGAATGATGGAAATGGAGGGAGGGGGACAGAAGATGGCAAGTTGAGTTACAAGGCAATGAGGGCGACGTGCACGCACAGGTGACGCGAGTGGCACATTGAAGGCCTCCAGGGAGAGCTGCCTCACGCCCACTGCACTGCCTCCGTCGCCGGCCTCATCGCCCCACTGGTCCACGTCCCCCTGGGCGACGGGCGCCAGCAGCGGTGAGTGCGTGAGGCCCAGGTCGTCCAGCAGCTGCACCATGCGTGGCTGCATCAGCTGCACCTCCCTCGCACTGCCCCGCACCCACCGCACCTGATGATGGGTGGTGGGGCAACCAGACGAGAGAGGGGGAAGGCACGGTAGAAAGAGCAGCAAAGGGAATGTGTTGTGTGGCAATCACATAGTTATGGGTGCAGTGGCGGGGCACGGAGCAGCCAAGGTGAGTGAGTGGCGCCCGGCCGCACAGTATGGAGCATGCATGGAGAGCACGTGGAGGGGAGCACTGTGTGACCAACTCAAATGCACGCCACATGTGGTGAGCACGGCCGCACCTTGGCGGCGTGGTGTTTGAGGGCGAGTGTGAGCAGCAGGCGCGGTTGGCGCTGCTGCAGCGCCAGGATGCGGCACCCCAGCGTCATCGCCACCTCGTCAAACTCCTCCTGTGCTGCTGCCTCCTCATCCTCCGCCCCCCCCGCCCCCTCTGCCTCCCCCCCTGCGGCCGCCGCTGCGCCTCCCCCCACGGCCATGGCGGCCGCCTCTCTCCGCCTCGCCTTGGCCGCCAATGCCGCTGCCGCATGCGCCCTCCTGCTCGCCCCACGCGTGGGGGACACAGGGGAGAGGTGGTGGGGAAAGGGAAACAGACAGAAGTGATGGAGGCACATCAGGAAAGGCACGTGGGGCGTGGCACATGAGGTGCAAACGATGCAGAGAAAAAAAATGGCCAGTTCTGTCAGCCCTGCAGACAGAACTCCTTTGGTTGTCTCTTCAGTTTGAGTCACCCCCAATTATACCATCCAGCTAATTCTTCTCGATTCTCGTGCATCCCTCTCACTTGCCTTCGGCACTATGCAACGCCCACACACCCGCACAGGTCGCACTGCAATTTGGTCGAGCCGTGCAATTTGATGCAAGCGTGGCACGGCACGGCAGCTGCAGTGGCATCACGCAATCGTGCGCCCCCAGTTTACACTGAATGCCACGCTCATTACTCAAAGCCCTTCTGTGTGATACAAACCCAGCAACAAAGGACCTGGCTGGAGCGACACTTACCGCTTTTGCTCGTAGAGCTCTTTCGTTTCCTGGTGGAGGGAGGAGGGTGCAGGAAAAAACAAGAGGGATGAGAGGGTGAGATAGATGAAGGGCAGATGGAGACGAGGAAAGAGAGGACGGACGGAGGAGCTGAGATGTTGCACATCCTAGGCATGCGGAGGAGCTGAGATGTTGCACATCCTAGGCATGCGGAAAAGCTCGAGGCCTGGATAAAAAGGTCGAGTCGTATTTGAGGGCTGGCTTCACCACCACGTGCTGCATCTCACCACCACGTGCTGCATCTCACCACCACGTGCTGCATCTCACCACCACGTGCTGCATCTCACCACCACGTGCTGCATCTCACCACCACGTGCTGCATCTCACCACCACGTGCTGCATCTCACCACCACGTGCTGCATCTCACCACCACGTGCTGCATCTCACCACCACGTGCTGCATCTCACCACCACGTGCTGCATCTCACCACCACGTGCTGCATCTCACCACCACGTGCTGCATCTCACCACCACGTGCTGCATCTCACCACCACGTGCTGCATCTCACCACCACGTGCTGCATCTCACCACCACGTGCTGCATCTCACCACCACGTGCTGCATCTCACCACCACGTGCTGCATCTCACCACCACGTGCTGCATCTCCCCCAGCAGCGCCTCTGCTGGCTCCGCCAGTGTCTGCTGCAGGTGCAGGCTCTGGGGCATGCGGGCATGGGGGGGAGAGGAGAGGGCGGCGGGTCATCAGTCAGTGAGATGCGAATGGCTAGAGAGCAAGCAGAGGAACTCACAACTCTAAAGAAATTCCCTCGGCTAACATAGAAGTAGAGCAGCTCACATGGAAGTAGAGCAGCTCACATAGAAGTAGAGCAGCTCACATGGAAGTAGAGCAGCTCACATGGAAGTAGAGCAGCTCACATGGAAGTAGAGCAGCTCACATGGAAGTAGAGCAGCTCACATAGAAGTAGAGCAGCTCACATGGAAGTAGAGCAGCTCACATGGAAGTAGAGCAGCTCACATAGAAGTAGAGCAGCTCACATAGAAGTAGAGCAGCTCACATAGAAGTAGAGCAGCTCACATGGAAGTAGAGCAGCTCACATGGAAGTAGAGCAGCTCACATAGAAGTAGAGCAGCTCACATGGAAGTAGAGCAGCTCACATGGAAGTAGAGCAGCTCACATGGAAGTAGAGCAGCTCACATGGAAGTAGAGCAGCTCACATAGAAGTAGAGCAGCTCACATGGAAGTAGAGCAGCTCACATGGAAGTAGAGCAGCTCACATGGAAGTAGAGCAGCTCACATGGAAGTAGAGCAGCTCACATAGAAGTAGAGCAGCTCACATGGAAGTAGAGCAGCTCACATGGAAGTAGAGCAGCTCACATAGAAGTAGAGCAGCTCACATAGAAGTAGAGCAGCTCACATAGAAGTAGAGCAGCTCACATGGAAGTAGAGCAGCTCACATGGAAGTAGAGCAGCTCACATAGAAGTAGAGCAGCTCACATGGAAGTAGAGCAGCTCACATGGAAGTAGAGCAGCTCACATGGAAGTAGAGCAGCTCACATGGAAGTAGAGCAGCTCACATAGAAGTAGAGCAGCTCACATGGAAGTAGAGCAGCTCACATGGAAGTAGAGCAGCTCACATAGAAGTAGAGCAGCTCACATGGAAGTAGAGCAGCTCACATGGAAGTAGAGCAGCTCACATAGAAGTAGAGCAGCTCACATGGAAGTAGAGCAGCTCACATGGAAGTAGAGCAGCTCACATGGAAGTAGAGCAGCTCACATAGAAGTAGAGCAGCTCACATGGAAGTAGAGCAGCTCACATGGAAGTAGAGCAGCTCACATAGAAGTAGAGCAGCTCACATAGAAGTAGAGCAGCTCACATAGAAGTAGAGCAGCTCACATGGAAGTAGAGCAGCTCACATGGAAGTAGAGCAGCTCACATAGAAGTAGAGCAGCTCACATGGAAGTAGAGCAGCTCACATGGAAGTAGAGCAGCTCACATGGAAGTAGAGCAGCTCACATGGAAGTAGAGCAGCTCACATAGAAGTAGAGCAGCTCACATGGAAGTAGAGCAGCTCACATGGAAGTAGAGCAGCTCACATAGAAGTAGAGCAGCTCACATGGAAGTAGAGCAGCTCACATGGAAGTAGAGCAGCTCACATAGAAGTAGAGCAGCTCACATGGAAGTAGAGCAGCTCACATGGAAGTAGAGCAGCTCACATGGAAGTAGAGCAGCTCACATGGAAGTAGAGCAGCTCACATAGAAGTAGAGCAGCTCACATGGAAGTAGAGCAGCTCACATGGAAGTAGAGCAGCTCACATAGAAGTAGAGCAGCTCACATGGAAGTAGAGCAGCTCACATGGAAGTAGAGCAGCTCACATGGAAGTAGAGCAGCTCACATGGAAGTAGAGCAGCTCACATAGAAGTAGAGCAGCTCACATGGAAGTAGAGCAGCTCACATGGAAGTAGAGCAGCTCACATAGAAGTAGAGCAGCTCACATGGAAGTAGAGCAGCTCACATGGAAGTAGAGCAGCTCACATGGAAGTAGAGCAGCTCACATGGAAGTAGAGCAGCTCACATAGAAGTAGAGCAGCTCACATGGAAGTAGAGCAGCTCACATGGAAGTAGAGCAGCTCACATAGAAGTAGAGCAGCTCACATAGAAGTAGAGCAGCTCACATAGAAGTAGAGCAGCTCACATGGAAGTAGAGCAGCTCACATGGAAGTAGAGCAGCTCACATAGAAGTAGAGCAGCTCACATGGAAGTAGAGCAGCTCACATGGAAGTAGAGCAGCTCACATGGAAGTAGAGCAGCTCACATGGAAGTAGAGCAGCTCACATAGAAGTAGAGCAGCTCACATGGAAGTAGAGCAGCTCACATGGAAGTAGAGCAGCTCACATAGAAGTAGAGCAGCTCACATGGAAGTAGAGCAGCTCACATGGAAGTAGAGCAGCTCACATGGAAGTAGAGCAGCTCACATGGAAGTAGAGCAGCTCACATAGAAGTAGAGCAGCTCACATGGAAGTAGAGCAGCTCACATAGAAGTAGAGCAGCTCACATGGAAGTAGAGCAGCTCACATGGAAGTAGAGCAGCTCACATAGAAGTAGAGCAGCTCACATAGAAGTAGAGCAGCTCACATAGAAGTAGAGCAGCTCACATGGAAGTAGAGCAGCTCACATGGAAGTAGAGCAGCTCACATAGAAGTAGAGCAGCTCACATGGAAGTAGAGCAGCTCACATGGAAGTAGAGCAGCTCACATGGAAGTAGAGCAGCTCACATGGAAGTAGAGCAGCTCACATAGAAGTAGAGCAGCTCACATGGAAGTAGAGCAGCTCACATGGAAGTAGAGCAGCTCACATAGAAGTAGAGCAGCTCACATGGAAGTAGAGCAGCTCACATGGAAGTAGAGCAGCTCACATGGAAGTAGAGCAGCTCACATGGAAGTAGAGCAGCTCACATAGAAGTAGAGCAGCTCACATGGAAGTAGAGCAGCTCACATGGAAGTAGAGCAGCTCACATAGAAGTAGAGCAGCTCACATAGAAGTAGAGCAGCTCACATAGAAGTAGAGCAGCTCACATGGAAGTAGAGCAGCTCACATGGAAGTAGAGCAGCTCACATAGAAGTAGAGCAGCTCACATGGAAGTAGAGCAGCTCACATGGAAGTAGAGCAGCTCACATGGAAGTAGAGCAGCTCACATGGAAGTAGAGCAGCTCACATGGAAGTAGAGCAGCTCACATGGAAGTAGAGCAGCTCACATGGAAGTAGAGCAGCTCACATAGAAGTAGAGCAGCTCACATGGAAGTAGAGCAGCTCACATGGAAGTAGAGCAGCTCACATAGAAGTAGAGCAGCTCACATAGAAGTAGAGCAGCTCACATGGAAGTAGAGCAGCTCACATGGAAGTAGAGCAGCTCACATAGAAGTAGAGCAGCTCACATGGAAGTAGAGCAGCTCACATGGAAGTAGAGCAGCTCACATAGAAGTAGAGCAGCTCACATAGAAGTAGAGCAGCTCACATGGAAGTAGAGCAGCTCACATGGAAGTAGAGCAGCTCACATAGAAGTAGAGCAGCTCACATAGAAGTAGAGCAGCTCAGCCAGGCGGCCATCCACAGCAGCGGCGGCCATGAGGGTGTCCCTGGCGCCGCCCTCGTCCACGCCGCCAAAGGCGTCCGCCACCACCGCCGCCAGCTGGTGCAGCGCCTCCGCACACTCTGATGCGCGCAGGGGGGAGAGGGTGGGGAAGGGGGGGCTGGGATGAGAGGTAGGGTGGTGGGGAGAGCAGCGGCGGCATGAGAAATGGATGGAGAAGGAGCAAGTGCCGATGGCAGCATGCATGTGCCGTGGGGGAGGCGTAGAGGGAAGGAGAAGAGCATGCGGTGAGGCTGGGGTTGGACGGAAAGAGGGAAGCGAGAAGGGTTGGGAGTCCAAGAGATGATTGGGTGCTAGTCGAAGTGTGGCGGGTTGAAAGGCACCCAGCAGCGCACCTGCTGCTCTCTCCTGCGCGTCCGCCACGGCTGCCAGCAGCCGCTCGTACTTGTCCCTCATCTCCCCCACCTCCTGCCACCCACGGCCACGGGGCAGGGGGCATGGCGCACAAAGCATAGGGCATTCAGCACGGGGCATGCGGCATGGGGCATGGGCATGGAAGGATGGCATGGGGAACGGCATGGGGGATGGCATGGGGGATGGCATGGGGGATGGCATGGGAAATGAGATGGGAAATGAGATGGGGGATGGGATGGGGGATCGGATGGGCCAGGGCATGGGTCATGGCACGGGGTACTTGAAACAGGGGACAGGGAATAGGGCATGGGGTATGGTATGGAGCATTGGGGATGGGGAGTGGTGCATGGGCGCAAAAGTGAATGCTTGGGTGCATGTCACGCCCCCACAGCTCACACCTGCAAGCCCCACAGCGCGCACCTGCAAGCCCCGCGCACCTGCAAGGCCCACAGCGCGCACCTGCAAGCCCCACAGCGCGCACCTGCAAGCCCCCCCATGGACACACCTGCAAGCCCTGTTGGAATTCGTCCTCAATGGAGTCCGTCTGCGTCACCGCCATGCCCCTCATTCCCTCCGCCGCGCCGCTGATCCTCGCCTTGCCCGCTCCGCCCCCACCTGCCGCCTGCTGCGCGCCTGGCGGCGTCCCCGAGGCCCTCTCCGCTGCGCGCGCATCGCCCGCTCTGCCTTTCGCCGCCAGCCCAGTCAGCCGCTTCCACTGCTTCATGCTGCCGCCGCCACAGTGCTTCAGCGCAACGGCGCACGGTTGGTGCGAAAAGGCCAACGACCGCGCCCTTCCCCTCTCGACTTGTAACCTTGCGACTAGACCCGCTGTGCGCCCGACACTACTCTCCGCCGCCGATAGCTATTCGGGTGGTGGAGGGCGGCCTAGGGGGCGGCGGCAGCTGCATCGCGATAACCTAATGACGTCCAAGGAAGTGCGTTTCGCGTTCGACTAAATCGTTCGTGAAAAAGACCGCGCGGCAACTCCGAGCGCAGAGGTGGGCGGGGCGGCGGGCGCGCCAGCAGGCGGGCTCACCGCGGGTGAGGAGGCCACCGCGACAACCCCGACGCGCCCATGCCACGGCGTGCCCCCGCGCGACGAGGGCGCTGCGCGTTGGAGCCGACGAGGGAGACTGCGGAGCTACGAGATGCGCGGGAGGAGGCAGGTACGTGAGACTTGGGGCAAGCCACGCGTGGGGGAAGACTTTGCTGCTAGAAGCGATCTGCAGCTGGCGGGAGGTCCGCCCGTGCGACGCTCTCTGCTTTGCGCTTCGTGGCGGAACCACGGAAAGCACTATACGACAGCCGCTAGGAAGGCACAAACGGAACGCGCTATAGAGAATGAGGAGGCGAAATAACGATGACTAGTCGATGGAAAGACGGCAATTCTCTCATTGCTAGCATATCCACCATTCCCTTCCAGCTTTTCTGTTGCTGAACGGTCAGCAGTTTTCTCCTACACTCAAACTGAAAATCGAAAATAATATGCTCGACAGATGTGAAGCCGAACATAGTGTAATGACGAAAGTCAAATCATTCTTTTTCATATCGCGTCAGATTCTATACAGCAACACCCTCTTTCAAGAGGGTATAAAGTGTAATAATTATCTATTTTCTTACACACCTGACTTCATGTTACACATGCAATGGAATGAGCAAATGAGGATTGCACTAAGGGGTCAAAAGAAGTACATTGTGGGCCAAGGAATGAGCTGGTGACATTAATAGTGTGAACGGTGATGCGAGAATGTGATCTACGCTATGCAATGGTGGGAACGAAACTCGGGCTACTTCTCTGAACTAAAGCTTTGGCCGTGCACCCACCCACTGACAATAGACAGCAGCAATATTGGACGATAGGTATATGTATGGTTACAGTAGAGAAAAAACAGGTTAACAAATGAACACGAAGAAGCCAGTCAGTGTAGATTGCCGAAGAAGATTATCCCCAAAAAATGAGAGGGAGCTGACTTGGAGCAGGTGACATGGCAGCATGAGCACATGGTCAGTCCCAGTCCCCATCGGCATCAAACATCCCTGCATCCCTCATCTCAGAGTAGTATGCATCCTCCACCTCCGTGTCCTCGTCCTATGAGGGGCGTTGCCCAGGGGGAGGGGAAGGGGGAAGTGAAAGAAGCGTCTAACGGTAGCAGGCAGGTGGGTGAGTGCAGGTGGGTGAGTGCAGGTGGGTGAGTGCAGGTGGAGGAAGAAGGCCGCTGGACATGATGCTGTGGCCATTGATGCATGGCACGGGAGCTCATTGATGCATGGCACGGGAGCTCATTGATGCATGGCACGGGAGCTCATTGATGCATGGCACGGGAGCTCATTGATGCATGGCACGGGAGCTCATTGATGCATGGCACGGGAGCTCATTGATGCATGGCACGGGAGCTCATTGATGCACGCAGCAACAGCACAGTGCTGCCGTCGCTCATATGGGCTGGCAAGATGAACGGCATGCAAGCACGGGTGGGAGCACCTTGTGGTGCCTCGGCTGATTGCCAGCCCCATGCCACTTGTGCAGGCATGTGTGCAGACATGTGTGCAGGCATGTGTGCAGACATGTGTGCAGGCATGTGTGCAGACATGTGTGCAGACATGTGTGCAGACATGTGTGCAGGCATGTGTGCAGGCATGTGTGCAGACATGTGTGCAGGCATGTGTGCAGACATGTGTGCAGGCATGTGTGCAGACATGTGTGCAGGCATGTGTGCAGACATGTGTGCAGGCATGTGTGCAGACATGTGTGCAGACATGTGTGCAGACATGTGTGCAGGCATGTGTGCAGGCATGTGTGCAGACATGTGTGCAGGCATGTGTGCAGACATGTGTGCAGGCATGTGTGCAGACATGTGTGCAGGCATGTGTGCAGACATGTGTGCAGGCATGTGTGCAGACATGTGTGCAGGCATGTGTGCAGACATGTGTGCAGACATGTGTGCAGACATGTGTGCAGGCATGTGTGCAGACATGTGTGCAGACATGTGTGCAGACATGTGTGCAGCCATGTGTGCAGACATGTGTGCAGCCATGTGTGCTGCGCGGACAAATGCATAGGCACGCATGCGGCCATGTGCGTAGGCATGTGCGCAGGCATAGGTGCAGGCAAAGGTGCAGGCATAGGAGCAGGTATGGGTGCAGGTATGGGTGCAGGTATGGGTGCAGGTACGGGTGCAGGTATGGATGCAGGTATGGGTGCAGGAATGGGTGCAGGTATGGGTGCAGGTACGGGTGCAGGTATGGGTGCAGGTATGGGTGCAGGTATGGGTGCGGGTATGGGTGCAGGTATGGGTGTGGGTATGGGTGTGGGTATGGGTGCAGGAATGGTTGCAGGTACGGGTGCAGGTATGGATGCAGGTATGGGTGCAGGAATGGGTGCAGGTATGGGAGCAGGTACGGGTGCAGGTATGGGTGCAGGTATGGGTGCAGGTATGGGTGCGGGTATGGGTGCAGGTATGGGTGTGGGTATGGGTGTGGGTATGGGTGCAGGAATGGGTGCAGGTATGGGTGTGGGTACGGGTGTAGGTATGGGTGCAGGAATTGGTGCAGGTATGGGTGCAGGTACGGGTGCAGGTATGGGTGCAGGTATGGGTGTGGGTATGGGTGCGGGTATGGGTGCAGGTATGGGTGTGGGTATGGGTGTGGGTATGGGTGCAGGAATGGGTGCAGGTATGGGTGTGGGTACGGGTGCAGGTATGGGTGCAGGAATGGGTGCATGTATGGGTGCGGGTATGGGTGCGGGTATGGGTGCAGGTATGGGTGCGGGTATGTGTGTGGGCATGTGTGTGGGCATGTGTGCAGGTACGGGTGCGAGCACACAAGGAAGTTGGATGGAGAGGGCGGACCTGGAAGAAGTCGGCGAGGAAGGTGAGGTAGAGCAGCGGCGGGAAGAGCGCCCAGTACACACACTCTGCCAGCCCTCGCATGCTGCAGGGGAGTGGTGGCACAGCAACACCCATGCATTCCCATCCATTCCCATGCCAAGCCATGCAGCCAATGCACAACCATGCATGTCCATGCAAACCCATCGACGCCCATGAAGGCGGTTGACTGGCGGCACAGAAACAACCACTCAAGAAGCGAATGCCATGACAAGTGCAAGGAGGCAAGTGCAGGCATGTGGAGAGCAGTGTACATGCACAGACCAGAGGGCGGCGGGCACGTGGAGGGCGAGGAGGAGAGCGGCCAAGGCAGAGGCAGAGTGCAGCAGCAGTAGCAGCAGCACGTAGCGGTGGAAGGCGGGGCGCGCTGCTCACAGGGAGAGGGGGTGGGCGCATGGAGGGAGGCATGCATGTCAAATAGTGCATGCTGTAAGCGCAGATTGTGAATCCATGCACACATCTCCCACCCTCGCACACATCTCTCACTCCCTGCTTCCCTCACCACTCTTGCTCTCCACCCACCTCTCCCGCCCCACCTGCCCCTCTCCCAACCCAGCTTTCGCTGCATGCTAGTAAGACAGTAAGACACGGAATGGCACCCACCAGGGAGGGCGTCGCGCCAGTGGGAGAGCGGCAGGGAGAGCAGTGCGGCGTAGACGGCGGCGTGGAGGCCGTCGTGGGCGAGCCAGAAGAGCCACACGGCGCCCGGCGTGGCGGGTGCGAGGGCCGGGTGGAAGAGCGGCAGCGCGTGGTGGAACACCAGCGACGCCTGCCCATGGCGCGGCAGCAGGGGCGCATGGGTTGCGATGGCAAGGGCGGGTTGAATGGCAGGGCACAGTGCGGAAGAGAGGAAGAGGAGGACGCAAGGAATGAGAGAGTGGAAGAGGAGAGGCATGCAAGGAGGAGGATGGGGCGAGCGGCTCCGTGTGCACAGCGCATGGGAGGAGGGCATCGGGGAGGGCATCGGGGAGGGCGAGGCTACAGTGGCAGCATGCGCTGGCAGAGCTACCTTCTCATGTGGGCCGCTGCGGTGCTTCCACAGCACCTCACCTTGACTGCCACGTCAGCGCCAGCGAGGATGGCAGCGATGACAGCGGTGCGCAGCAGGGCCTCGGAGGCGGACATGCGGACGCCGTGCATGAGGAAGAGCAGCACCCCCGCCTCCAACGCCACGCTCACCCACCCCGCCGCCAGCCACGCCCCACTCAGCCACGCACTGCTGGCTGCAGGCTCAGCCGCAGCATCTGGTGAGAGCAGCAGCAGCTGGGCGGGAGAGAGAGAGGGAGAAGGTATGTAAGAGGTTGAGCATGGAGGACGTGGGGGTACATGGTGTGTGAGAGGAGGACGTGGGGGTACATGGTGTGTGAGAGGAGGATGCAAGTGGGGTGGTTGCCATGTGAAAAGGCAAGCGAGCACGTGGCCAATCCGGCAGCTCAGCTCATTGGGTCAAGTCATGGCACTGCCCGTCTCAGTGCAGTGCCGGTGTCAGTGCATGTGAGTGGCAGGTTGCTGTGCAGGTGATGGGGCAGTGGTGTGGGTGCTGGGCATCGGGTGCCCTGGTTGCCACACTCTCTCCACAAGGACTGGGTCAACCCGCAGCCCCCTAACTCTCCCCTATGTTCAGAACGGATAAGATACACCCGGATTTCATTGCTCTTGCTTCCATTTCTACAACCCAGTATCAAACCAGTCCCTCTTCGACGTCGTCTCAAACTACCACTTCACCTGAACAACTGCGCTTCAAATCTGTTAATGACACTGACTTCATTTGTTGTGACGACTCACTACAGTTAGGTACCCCTGCATGTACGGGATGGACAAGGCGTTGCTGAGATTGCCATGGACGAGGACAACAGTTCCCTGCCACCAAGTTAGTAAGAAACACTTCTTTTACGGCAAGCTCCGCGCCTGTTCGCCCCATGAAGTGCGAGGCATGGACACTGTGAGGCCTTCATGGATCATGTGCATGTGACCACACCGACCAGCGGTGCAGGGGACGTGGAGTTGTGCTGCCCCAATGATGAGCTGAAGGAGAGCCAAGGACGCCTCCACAGCGGTCTATGCGTTGAAGGAGAATGACATGAGCAACAGCCGAAGCTCGTCCATGCTCACTTCAATTCAACCGGACAGCCAAAAGCATGGTTTGGTGGACAGAAGTTCTTTAAGTAAAACCACGGCTTTGTTTCGTGCTCATGTGGTGTGTCCTGTACCTGGCGTCTAGGAACTATTGGTCACCCCCAACTGCCAGCTGCAAGTGGGAACCTGGAAGCTTCACAAGCTGGGAGCGAGTCAGCCGTGGAGGTGAATGCAATGCAGTGCCACAGCAACGCGACAGAGACACAAATTGTGGTCGACAATGGAGGCGGTGGCACAGTAGCTCGCAGGTTTAGATGGATGCATTTCCAGTGCGCCGCAACACATACGCCTCCATCATTCAGAGCATGTCAGTCAATGCATTCTCGCCGCACAGGATCTTTCACAATGTATACCCTCACTGGCAGGCACAGCCCGTCAGCCAGGTGGGCCCTCAAGGGCCTATCTGCATCTTGGAATGTGCAGTTGTGAAGACGTTGGCCGGCGGTGAGAGGCTTAGTACAGCGTGTGAATGGCAGACAATGAGTGAGAAGGTGCAGTCCGGGTCCACTCACCATTGTGTGCCTTCTCTCACAATGGGTGGTGACCACACTCCATTTTGTAATGGAGCACGCATGGTACAGTCTGGTTCACGTTTCCAGTTGGGCTGTGATGACAGACTCAGCATTGCAGCCGTGCACACTCTGTCGACACCAACATGCGAAACCACTAACTACAAGCCACTGGCTCAGCTGCTCACCTCCGCTCGCCACACTGGCAAGCCGAGCCCAAGTTAGTCCTCAGCCTGGCAGCTCCACGCGCCTCACCTGATGGCACAACGTCTTGCTGCAGGAAGCTTAGCATCCCCAAACAAGCACATCTGGTGGCCAATCCCAGTTTCACGCACATCTGGTGGCCAATCCCAGTTTCACGCACATCTGGTGGCCAATCCCAGTTTCACGCACATCTGGTGGCCAATCCCAGTTTCACGCACATGCGACGAGAAACAAGCCGGTACTCGCTTATTGACGAGCCTAGCCCAGCTCGTGTGAACTCGCCTCGCCTCGCCTCGCCTCGCCTCGCCTCGCCTCGCCTCGCCACCATCCAACGAGCCACGCAGGTCAGCCACCTCTTGCTCACCCGTCCACTGGCCTGCGCATCGCAGCTTGGACCCAAGCCGGCCAACTCACACCCATGCTGATGCTATGTAGTAACTTGGTGTGCTGCTCCACCGAGCGGTTTGAACTGAGCAACTGACAGCGGCTGAATACTGCGCCCACTAATGGTCTTCCAAGCTATCTCCTTCCTGTCCAGGTTTTTATGCTATTTCATGTGTAACAATGGCAGCGGGACGAGCAGCCGAATGAGGGAGCCACAGCAAGCAGAGCGATGAGGTGATGAGGGGAGGAGCAGAAGAGGAACCCTCAAAGCACGGTTGCAAGCTGGCAACGTGCTCTCACCGCGCTGCGGCGCAGTGCTGCGAGGCGCAGTGCATCGTGGTCCGCGGACATCCTTCTCCCCGACGCCCAACTCTTATCTCCACGTCCCGCCAAGCTGAACCCACCCCTCGCCATGCCGCCCCTCACATCAACGCCATTCCGCGCCTCACCTGAGCCGTTCCGCGCCTCACCTGAGCCGTTCCGCGCCTCACCTGCGCCAGGCTGCGCACGAGGTTCGTTCCCGCGGCGGCCCACAGCAGCGCGTAGAATCCCGCCATCACGGCGCACTGCCCGCCCATCATGCCCGCGCTGCGCGCGCGCCGCAGCTGCGCCAGAGCGGGGCGGACGCGGGAGAGGAAGAAGAGCAGGAAGAGGAGCGGTGGCGCAACGGTGACTAGAGCGAACCATGTCCGCGATATAAGCGACGCGTGCGGGTGCTGCCAAGCCAAGCAAAATTCCTCCGCATATGGGGACGCGGGGGGCGGAAGAAAGGGCGGAGATGCGGAGGGTAACGGAGGGGCGAACGAAGGGGGAGAAGAGAAGTGCGGTGCGGGAGGCAACTGCGGGGAAGAGGGGAGAATGGGCGGAGAGAGATGGGGGTCGGTGGACGCCATACGGACGGATAGGGCGGTGCTCAGGCGACGGCAGGCGCGGGCATCATAGTGCGAGAGGTCTAAGGTGTTTGCAGCTGTTGTGCTCTGGAGTCGAGTCTGTCACTGCTGTTGGAGCACATATGTGGGGGGAGTGGTGGTTGTGAATCGCGTGGTGTGTGTGGGTTTCACATGGGAACCACAGAATGTACTGAAGAACGCAAAAGCCCCTGCCCGCGCCTGTTTCCGTGTATGAGGGCTCTGCGCGAAAAGTGTTAGCGCATCAGAGCGCGTCTAGGCAGCCGCAAAAATATTCGGGAAGCACGCTGTGTTCGCGTCCGTGCGAGGTCGGATTTCGCACTGGTCCGTGGTGCTGTACTGTTTCGCACTCGTTCCCTGCTGTGGGACTTCGCGCGTGGGGATGTGGTGGTGTTACGAAACAGTCAGGGGCCAGAAATAATGCACTCGGCGGACGCAAACGAGGACTTTGAAGTCGTCGACATAAACCGCATTCGGGCCAGATCAAAGGACGACTATATTGCTGTAAGAAAAATTCCTCTTCCTTACTTCGCGTCCCTCCTCAGCGCGTACACCACTGTTCCCGCCAACAGTTCTCAACAGCACACCGTTACTACTGGTGACACTCGCCTCGACTACTGTTCTCGCCACTGTTCACGACGCGACCCAACCTCACGGCTCGGTTGGTAACCCGCGATCGGGACCTCCGCCTCGGCAATTCCCAGCCTCGCGCTAGGCCCGTAGCGCACCCCATCTTCACGCATCACCGTTACCACGCTAGCTTCGCTATATATCTTTCGCTCATGCCTTCGCTCAATAGATTGTTCTCGCTCGCTATATTGCACTCGTAACACTTGGTATCAGAGCCTACGATCTCTTCTCGGACCGCACCCACACCTTCGCTTCCCCACTATCTCAATTTCGGAGGGGTAGACGTATATCAACGAACAAGCACCGCTGCTCGAAGTGCTCTCTCGTAAGCACGCACGGCCACGACAGAGGCTCTCGCTGAGCTCGCCCGACACCCCCGCCATGGCCGAATTCACCTTTGCGACGTTGACGCAGGAGCAGCTCGACCGTTTCGTGCGCCAACTCAGAGATTCACAGCTCGAAATTGCGACGCTTACGGCAGAACGCGACTCCGCCCGCCAGCAATCAACGGCGAATGCACCGTCACCAACACCAGCACCTGCAAATGAACCTGTACAAAGCGGACGAGCCGATCGTCATTTCGTCCGGCACACCATCATAACACGACAGCATGGGACAGCGCTCAGGCGCTGCCAGTGATGGCGCCGCCCAATCGATGCCTGGCATGGAGAGGAACAGGGCCGCACCAAGCACGCAGGGGCCTCGTGAAGCCCATCGGCACGTGGAGTTCCCACCATGGACTGGTGGCGAGTCATTGTAACGTCGCCACGCGCCTACGAGCCGTCGTCGCAAGAGGAAGAGCCAATGGGCCCAACCGTCACCTGGAGTTCCTTTTGTGAAACCGCCCAGTACAGCACGTGGGATGCGTGGTGCGTAGGGCTTCGGGCGCGCTTCGAGCCGATCGCAGCTTCAATTTTGGCGCGTCAGAAACTGCGCACTTGGCGGCAGCTCGGATCGGTTCAAGAGAAATTATACGAGCGGTTTTCTCGCACTATGCGAGCAGGTCGGCTACATGCACGAGGCGGAGCGGGTGGACCGTTACATTGGGGGGCTGAAGCCGGACATCTCGCATGAAATCTTGCTACGCGGGCTCTCGAATTTTAATGCGATTCTTGCGCTCGCCGAGAAGATCGACATTCTGCGCTGTCCGAGACCAGGGTCCTACTACGGACATCGCCCTCAGGGACCGATCGAGCACACCACCGTACACGCCACTGCCGCGCCATTTAAGGGGCGTTGTTTTGCTTGCAATAGGCCGGGCCATCGCAAGAGCGAATGTCCAGAGAAGCTGAGGCTGTAAACAGGACTAAGCAAGAATGTGTCATTGAATGGAAGAATTGGGTACAAGTAGCAAACCCTAGTTGGGGTTGTACCCCATACTGGCTACCCCACTACAGCCTACCAACATAACACAGTTTAACACACCCCCATAGGCAAAGTGGGGGAGAACAAAGGGTCACAAGACCAGTCTAGCAAAGCAAAGCAAGCCCAGGGTGGATCACAACGTCACCACACTCCGAGCACAAGCAAAGGCCACAAGGCCAGTTCACATGCAGTGCTAGATATAGTACAAGACAAGCAACACAGTGATCAAGACCTAGCAAGCAAGCAACGAGATATATATAAAGGACAGTACAAAGAAAGTCAAGCAGTAAGCAAATGAGGGAATGTGGACACAAGGCCTAAGGAAGTACAGTGCCGCTGATGATCACTAGGCGGGAGCGCCTTGGTGAAGATATCAGCAGTGTTGGCCTTCGAGTCCACGTACACAAGCCGAAGCTGACCTCGCTGCTGCAGCTCTCGAGCAAGAAAGTAGCGAAGAGCAATGTGCTTCGTCCTGTGCTCCAGTCTGTGCTCCTGACACAAGGCAAGGGCCGCCTTGTTGTCACCGTACAGAACTGGAGGAGAACTAGGCCGCTCTCCCAAGTCAGTCAGCAGGTAGGTGAGCCAGCGTAACTCCTGGGCAGCCATGGCTGTGGCGTAGATCTCAGCCTCACAACTAGAGCCGAGAACAGAAGAAGAGCGGGTGGACCGCCACGAGACAGAACCAGAGCCAAGGCTGAAGGTGTAACCCTGTGACGACCGCTGCGTAGCCAGGTCGTCCACCCAAGAAGCGTCCGAGTGGCCAGTGAGGACAACTCTGTCGCGTCCTCCAAGCACCAGCCCCATGCCTGATGTACTGCACAAGTAGCGCAGCACCCTCTTAGCAGCCTCCCAGTGCTCTCGCCTGTGTCTCCCAGGCGCAACGTAACGAGCAAGGATGCTAAGAGGGTACGCGAGGTCAGGTCGCGTGCAAGTCATCAGGTACATGAGGCAGCCCACAAGCTCTGGGTACGGGCCACTCGGCTCTACGGACTCGTCCGGAGGTGGAGCTGAGAGCGAGTGGCTGGTAGCCAGAGGTGTGGCCTGTGGTGAGGAGAACTGGAAGCCGAAGCGCTGAAGGACCTGCTGCACCATGTGTGACTGAGTCAGGGTGATGGTGCGGCGAGCTCTGTCCCGGGTGATCTGCAAGCCAAGGTAGCTACGCAGCTCACCCAGGTCAGTGCAGGTGTGTCTCTTCTGCAGCTCCGACTTCACACGAGCGAGTGCCTCAGTGTCAGCAGTAGCAAAGACCAAGTCGTCGACGTACACGAGAATGTAGAACGGCGGCAGCGACGTGTCTGTGCGCAGAAACAGCGACGGGTCAGCAGTAGACGGCGCGAACCCAAGAGCCGCAAGTGTAGTCCTCAGTGTGTCGTGCCACTCGCGTGGCGCCTGGCGGAGACCGTAGACTGGCCGGCGGAGGCTCCACTGGGTACCAGGAGGAAACGACCCAGTAAAGCCAGGTGGGCGGCGCAGCCAGATCTCCTCGTGCAGGCTGCCCTGCAGGAACGCTGTGCTGAAGTCAAGAGAGTGAAGCTCGTAGTCACGCTGAGCAGCAACGTGCAGCAGAACCCGAAGAGTGGTCATCTTCGGGGTGGGGGAGAAGGTCTGGAAGAAGTCGACCCCCTGACGCTGACTGAAGCCTCTAGCAACGTAACGAGCCTTGAAGACAGGCGGAGAACCTGGCGGCCGCTTCACCCTGAAAATCCACATGCCATCGACGATGTTCGCCCCAGGAGGGGGAACCTCGTCGACGTAGGTGCCTGTGGACTTCCAGGATGCCATCTCTGCGTCCATGGCTGTCTGCCACTGAGAGGAGTAGGGACCCGAGATCGCCTCTGCGTAAGTGCGTGGAGTGGGGATGTCTAGTGCATCCGGGTCTCCCTCAGGGGCAAGCAACCAGGCCACGAGATGAGGTACAGCAGCCGCGAGAGAGTCAAAGTCCTCCTGCCTGTCCTCAAGGACGTCCGTGCCAAGAGCACACTCACCCCCGACGGACGGAGGACAGACAGACGCAGACTCAGACCCAGCAACAAGGCGAGCAGCGTAGTCTAGACGACAGGCAGCAGCAAAGTCAACCAACTCAGCGACCAGAGCAGACGCAGCCGAGGACTCAAAGGTAGGGTCAGTGACAACAGTAGCTAGGAGACGCGTGACTGTAGGGTGCTCAGCACGATACCGGTCAGACTCAGGGTCCGGAACAGCAGGCAAAGAGGACGCAGGAGGAGACGGCAGAGGGACACGCTGAGGAGCAGTAGAGGGACGCAGAGTCATGTAGTGAGTGCCTGGGACAGGAGGAGGACGCTCACGACGGACACGACGACCAGTGCGAGCAGTACGGACAGGCGACGCAGGACGAGACTCAGGCTCACGACGCTCTGTAAGACCTCCTGTGGGACCAGTGTAAGGAGAGGGAGCAAGGAGAGGCGAGGCAGGCGGTAACTGTGACTGCGGCTGGACAGTCGGAGGACACTCTACGGAGGGAGGAGGACAAGGAGGAGGAGCCTGCCCAAGAACCTGCTGAAGGAGCGGTACGAAGTACGGCCGCGGCCGCGCAGCGTCTCCAGAAGCAGAAGAGACTCCAGCGTCCGGGTCCCCAGCACCAGCAGCAGCGCCACCGCCCGGGTCCTCAGCTCCAGCAGCAGCTCCACCAGGTGGGTCCGCAGCACCAGCAGCAGCACCACCCCCAGGGTCCGCAGCACCGCAAGGAAGAGCACCCCCAGAGTCGGCAGCTACAACTCCGCTAGCGCCGCCAGCTCCAGAGTCCCCAGCTCCAGCAGCTCCAGT